GCGATAGTGTAATGAGAGAAACAAATGATGATCAATGTCCATTTCGAGTATCTTCGCTTCGACGAAAAGTTTATTTAAATCAACAATGTACAGCTGGTAAGTCTAACAAAATACTTTTCAATCGCTATAAATATGAGAAATACGGGGTGTCCGCAAAGTCATTTAACGACAGCTTTTTAATATAGCTTTACTACTCTCTTATTTGACTTTATCAGATTTTTTTTTGAAATTAAATGATAGGTGAATACACCAATTTTTTTTTCTATACAAACAAACTTCGAAAATATTCTTGAAACGTATCACTTTTTTCTACAGTGTCCAAAAGTTATTGATCAAAAAGAAAACTATATATATATCTCCGTTAGTTTTTGACCAAATCGAACAATTTGTTTTTATTCAAAAGAGAAATGTTTTAAGGTTTTTCTTCAGATATCAACAGTTTATTGACATACGTAAAATCTAGTACCATCTTCTCAAACTCCAAATTTTGCCTCTTTTTTCCGGGTGCTTTCATCAGTACAGTCTACAAAAAAAGAAATAAAAGTGCCGAAAAACATTTGATCTGCTATATTTTATAGAGCTTTTCTCGCTAATCAGTTTCGTTCAAATTTTCATCAAAAAATGACTGCGCCATGATCGAAATGCTGGAAATTCCAAAGTACACTGGGACACCAACGGTTCGACATTTCTTGCTAAAACGAGAAAACTTTTTCAACTAAACTCATCAGCAAAAAAACCAGCTCCAAAAAACGCAGTCTGTCAAATATTTTTCGATACTTCTATATTTCTTTGGTTGACTATACTAAATGAGAGTACCCGAAAATATAGACAGAATTTGGAGTTTAACTAGATGGTTCTGGATTTCAGATATGTCAATGAACTCTTGATTTGTGAAGAAAAACCTTAAAACATGTCTCTTTCGAATAAAAACAAATTGTGCGATTTGGTCAAAAAAAGGCGAAAATATAAAATTTTCTTTTTGTTAAATAAATTTCTGAACACACCGTATAAATATATATATATATGTCAAAGAGGTTGCAAAATAATAATAACAAAGCATCGAAAGCGTCGCTGTATTTTCCTTTGGTTGCTCGGAACCGAAAACTATACCACATCTACTCTCGTGTGTGTGTGAATAAGGCAAGGAGAAAATAGATGATTAGCTGCCCTTGTGATCATCTTGCGAATCATCCTTAATCAAGTCTGATCACTCTTAAGCACTCCTAATCAATAATTAGTTGTTTCCCCCTTAGATCAAATACAAACCATTTCACTCGGAGGATTCTACTTAGTTTTCGATGTCATGACGATGTCGACATTGACAAGTGTTGTATTTCGATCAAAGAGAGACAGCTCACTCCAATAAAATGAATAGCAAAAATAAGAATTTTGCTCGTACTTTAAGATCTATTTGACAAAAATCATCAAACCTTTATGTTCCGTTTTTATTCTCACAGAAAAGATCTTCAACTTCAATCTCTTTCATTTATAGAATTGATCAATCTTTTGTATTTGTCAACTGAAATTGTTTCTTTTTCTTTTTTTTCTTAAAATAAGAATAAATCTATTCAATTCTGAATCCTATCTTTTTCGTTTTTCATTCTTAACGATCTGCGGCGTTAAAAAAAGAAAATTATGACAATGTTCTTGTAGAGTTTGTATTGCAATATTTATACAATTTAGTTTTCTTGATCGAGATTTGATAGAAGAACAAAAGGTTTGTTTGTCAAATAAACATTGAAATTAGAAAATGTATTAAAAGAACAAAATATATTCTCTTTCAAATATCTTTGTCTCATTAATTTTGATTTCCATAAATATTTCATTTCATTTCATTTTCATTTCAGATTAAGATTTTAAATAGAAATATTTTGATTTTTTATTTTTGCAATCTTTTTCAAAGATAAACAAGTCCATTCAGATTAAATAAAATCAAATCAAATCATTTAATTTATTTTATTTCATCTTCACCCTCCTCTCAACATACATTTAGCTATTTTATTACATTTTAAAATAATACTTTTTATTCGCATTTATTCTTCCATTTCATTCAAATACTAACAAAATCTTTTTTCTTTTAGGTCAACCAATTCTCTGCAATCATATTAATATCAACACCAAATGGAAACAACATGGAATTACTATTGTTGGAGGTAATGCAGAAGGCGAACAATTAAATCAACTCTCTTGGCCTGTCGGTATCTATGTAGATGATGATGATCAAACTATTTATGTTGCTGATTATGGTAATCATCGTATTGTTGAATGGAAATATGGAGCATCGAGTGGCCAAGTTGTTGCCGGCGGAAATGGAGCAGGCAGTCGAAGTGATCAATTGTGTGGTCCAACAGGTGTGATTGTTGATAAAAAGAATGATGCTCTTATCATTTGTGATCAAGAAAACAGACGAGTAGTACGATGGCCTCGTCAAGATGGTATACATGGAAAAACAATCATTTCTGATATTGATTGTTGGGGATTAACAATGGATGACAATGAAGATCTTTATGTCTCTGACACAAAGAAGAATGAAGTGAGACGATGGAAACAAGGAGAAACAGAAGGAACAATAGTAGCAGGTGGGAATGAACAAGGAAATCAGCTCAATCAACTCAATTGGCCTACTTGTATCTTTGTCGATAAAGATCATTCAGTTTATGTATCTGATCGTGGCAATTATCGTGTGATGAAATGGATGAAAGATGCAGAAGAAGGTATTGTTGTTGCTGGTGGAAATGATGAAGGGATTAGTTTGACACAATTGTCTTGTCCTGATGGAATCATTGTCGACGATTTGGGTACTGTTTATGTGGCTGACTGGACTAATGATCGAATAATGCGTTGGTGTGAAGGATCTTCCGAAGGTACTATTGTTGCTGGTGGAAACGGAGAAGGAGAACGACCAAATCAGTTCTGGCATCCCACAGGTTTATCATTGGATGTTCAAGGTAGTCTCTATGTTGTGGATGATTGGAATCATCGAATACAAAAATTTGATATTGATTTCAATTAAATTTATCATCGATGCTAATGATGATATGAACAATTAAATTCTTTTGTGAAAATATTTTTGTTTCTTTTGATTGAAAAATAAATAAATAAATAAATATAAGAATTTGAACAAGATGAATTGAAAAAATAGAAAAGAAATGCTGTTGAGAAATGAAATGAGTTTAAAAAATATCTCGAAATGCAAAATTTCGAAAATATTAAATCTCGAAAATGGAAAAAGCTAGAAAATAATCACAAAGCGTAGGGAAGCATTCTGCTATGACATTTTCTTACGATAACTTCGAAGAGTGGGTGTGGGTGATTTTATCTTTTTCAACCACACCCATACTCACACCCTCAAGATGGTTTTTCGAGATTTCCTTTTTTCTTTATTCTTGTTTTCGAGGTTTTTTTATTCGAGATATTTTTCCAGATTTTGTTTTTTTCGATATCTGATATCATCCCCTATGTGTAGACGTACAATCTGTTAATGAAAAATAATTTTTTTCTTTCGAAAGATTTTCATTAATAATTTATTTTTATAATTTGATTTAATGAGAATTTGATTAAATAAAACAAAAGATTAAATGAAATATTAATTAAATAAAAGTGTTTCATTTCCACATTATAATCAAAGATAAATCTAAGGAAAATAAACATATTGAATGAATATTTTAGTTCGATTTGTAAAAATTTAGTTTAATTGAAAAATAAAAATTTATAATCTCTTTAACAAATGTGAAAATAAAAGTTTTGATTTTGATTTGATTTGAATAAACCAAATGAATCTTGAATTTAAATGTAACAAATTAACCATTTATCTTTGTGATAAATATTTCTTTGTTAATAAAATATTTTTTCTTCTTAGAAAATTATTAAAAAATATTCAAACTTTTCTTTTGAAAATTAAATTTTCAAAAAGGCTCAAATATTTATATATTAAAGAAAAATGTTCAGTTTATGTCCTAAACTTTGCTCTTATTTTGAATGTTATTATTAGTTGAAAAGGTTTCCATTAGATGCATCGAGTGATAAGTTTTTGAGAATGTTCAAAAAAGAGCAAAATGAGAAAGTTGTTGAGTCTGAATTGTAAGAAGTGATTCTTGAACAAAACAATCAATTGAAGGACATGACAAAGGTATTGTTTTAGACTAAGATATATAAAAAAAAGAAAAGTCATAATTAACTTTCTTCGAGGATTTAAAATAAAAGAAATTCATTTTTTTATGATTCAATATAGATGATTGTTCTATATTTTCTCTTAAATAAAAATAAAATTATTATTTTTAATTATTAAATAATATCAATTTAAATATTTACCTATTTTCAAATGATTGAAAATGATGAAAATTATTTTTATTATATTCTCTAAATTTTATTTAGTTTTCTAAAAAAAAGATGATCGTAATAATTAAACTAATTTTTGTAAGTCTAATTCAACTTTCTCAATGAAAAACTGATTTAT